TCAGTACCTAGGCTATGTGGACCTCGCACACAATGTGCATTGTTATACGTGTGAAATGTGCCAGTGCATACAAAGAGAAGTGGATGCACTCACACAGAGTTCTTCACTGCAAGGCCCACGGGCCACTGGCAGCCCCTGGTGGCCTTTAGTACGGCCCCCGACAATACACAACACGTGAAAACACCCCCCCCCCCCCCCCATCATCAACATCATGGTGGTGCTGTCAAACCCAACAATGGTTTCAAACGTGTGGCGGCCCTCACACTGGTGATGTCTATCGGCAAAAGTGGCCCGCCCCCTCTGAAAATGAGTGAAGAACACTGCACTCACACATGCAACCATCGGCACACGTGGACTCGAGGAATTCACACATCTCAACTCCAGTCCACGTGGGCATTCAACAAAGTTCCCCCGCATTATAGCCTTAACTCACTGCTCGGGCAAGTGCTGTTAGCGAGCACCTACGAAGGCCGGATCAGCACACGAGGGGGTGGGTGGCCGGCACCACGCCCGGCCGCATTTGTCTCCCCAGTGGCGATATTTACCAACCGTACCAGGTATTCACTTGCGGCTGAGTCGACCTAGGGGAGGCCCAGTACCGATTCAGATAATCGTCACTGGTGTTGGCCGTGAGCGGGAAACGAACTCGGATGGCCGGGTTTGTAGCGCATCGCGCTCACCGCTACACTACCGCCCCCCACGTACAACAAGCCGACGCGTATTCAAACAAGTAAACACCGACCCACTGACTAGCACCACGAACACACAATAAACACAAGGCCACGTCTCCTAACAAAGCAACAAAACTCCACGGTGACACATGCACGTGTCCTGACGTGTACAGTAACATATCAACATAACGGCACGTGGAGTCACGTCAACATAAACCCCCGTGTCCTGACATGTCAACAAGCCCACGTGTACGGTAACGTATCAACATTAATCCACGTGCACTGTCAACACAAACCCACATGTACGGTCAATAAGACCACGTGTACGTTAACATATCAACATAAGGTTTAACACGTAGGCTTTCGCGACCAATATGATCCATAAGAGGTTTTTTTGGGCTAGATCGCGTAAATATGTTGTTAAAACCCGCCACCACCCGACACAGACAACTGGTAAGGGTTGTCACGTAAACAGAACGTGACAATTCGTCACTCGTACAGCACACCGGTGTGTTGGAGAGCCAAGCCAAGATTGTAATGTTGTGGCTTGGCTCTCCAACACACCGGTGTGCTGTACTAGTGACTAATTGGCATGTTCTGTTTACATGACAACCCTTACTAGTTGGCTGTGTCGGGTGGTGGCGGGTTTTAACGACACATTTATACATTTACGCGATCTAACCCAAATAACCTCTATTATGGATATCAACATAAATCCACGTGTAATGTCAGGTCAACATCAACCCGTGTGTACTGACATGTCAACAAATCCACGTGTATGTTAACATATCAACATAAATGCACGTGTACTGCCAGGTCAACATCAACCCGCATGTACTAACGTGTCAACATAAATGCACGTGTACTGTTAAGTCAACACAACCCCCCATGTACGACAACACACATCAATATAAAGTTACGCTTTACCACTATCACGACAAACGAACGCATTCCAACACATATACCCATGCGGTACCATTACAGTAAACGAACACATGCTAAGGCAAACACACACGTGTGTCCGTACATGCAAACACAAAACCACGTGTGCACCAACCCACGTGCACTGAACATACAAATACAAAGAGCCCCCGTATAGCCTGAACAGATTGTTAGGGCAAGTGCTGTTAGCGAGTACCTATGAAGGCCGGCACGGCACACGAGGGGGTGGGTGGCCAGCACCACCCCCGACCGCCTTTGTACATACACACACACACAAACATGGTCACACGTGTACACTCACACAGATGTAGGCACACACGTTCATGAAAGCAGCCTCATACGGTGCATTGGACACGCGTGTCCGCACAAATATAAATATGCCCCCCCGTGCAGCATTTAACAGATTGCTAGGGCAAGTGCTGTTAGCAAGTAGCAGCACCTATGACGGCAGGCACGGCACACGAAGAGGGTGGGTGACCAGCACCACGCCCGGCCGCCTTTGTCTCCCCAGAGGCGATGTTTAGACACCGCACCGGGTGCTCATTTGAGGCTGAGTCGACCTAAACACACACGCCTCTAGACAAACAGCTGCACCAGCCCACGTGCAAAGTGACCCACGGTCTCACGTGTGCTCCTCGGCGCTAACACTCAAAACATAAAACCCACGTGTGCACTTGCACACATTCGTCTAAACACCCATATACACACGAACATGCATACGAGCACACACACGTGTAAACACAGGCGTGTAAACACACAAGCGTAAACACGTGCAAAGGTGTAAACACATAAACATGCAGAGACGTAGACTCATTTGTACGCACACGCTTGTAAACAAAGATACCTCCTGAAAGCCTTAGCAGGCTGAGGTTATGAAGGTCCAGCATACGACACATAATATGCACGAGCCACTGCACTACCACTGTCCCCGTGTAATCACAACACGTACACACACAATTGTTAACGCAACACGCACAACCGTAAGCACGTGCACACGCATGTCAACACAAGCACGTGCAATGACGGCTGAGAGCAGCTGACGCCGTTAGGATTGCAACCTCAACACACACACACGTGTAAATACACACACGTAAACACACGCTTTCCCCTGCATACACACACGTAAACACACGTGTTTCCCCGCTGCATACACACGTGTAAATGCACACATGTAAACACACGCTCTCCCCTGCATACACACATGTAAACACGTGTTTTGCCCTGCATACACACACGTGTACAAACACACATGTAAACACAACACGTGTGTCCCCCCGATACACAATGACAAAACATCCCCGTATGGCATTAACCGACTGTAGGGGAAAAGTTCCGTTAGCAAGTAGCATCGCCGATGAAGGCCGAGAAATGACAACACGAGGTGCTTGGTCGGTGATGGTGTGGCAAACACAACGCCCGGCCAGTAAGAAGATCTTCCACACACCACGCACACGCACGCGTAGTGACAGCGAACACACATGGAGGTGGCATTGTGCGAGGCAAGGGATGAGCAAGGAAAACATGCCACAGGTACACGACGCGTGAGACGGGGAAAGCGGCACCACCATCGAGGCGTGTGGCGAGATTGACGGTGGAGAGAGTAGCGGGGGAGGACGGACCAGGGGACACGCCGAGAGACATCGAACGATGAGTGGGAAAGAAAGAGGGGAGAAATTTGTGAGCAAACCGGGGGGGTAGGGGGCGAGAGCGAGCAAAACAACAGAGGTTTAGTGGTGTGTGTGTAATGAGCGAATGGTGTGCGGGAAGGAGTCAAAGAGAGTCAACTCGGGAGAAGAGCAGACTTGGAGGAAGGAGATCCATCCAACAGCGAGCAGAGAGTGTGTGTGGGGGGGGGGGGGGGGTCACGGCTTAATAAGAATAACAGGAGGCATCAGAGAGAGTTGGAAAGGGGGAATGATGCAGTGAAATGTGGAGGTATGGAACGATAGATGTGTAGCGGGGAAGGCCATGAAGGGGGAGTTGAAGAGAGTAAACACGGCGGGGGTGGAGTGCGGTGCAGGAACGAGACGCAAAATAGTGTGGCCTAGCGACACGCAAGCTGCCTGGCGACACGCAAGTGGCCGAGCGACACGCAAGTTGCCTGGCGACACGCAAGTGGCCGAGCGATACGCAAGTTGCCTGGCGACACGCAAGTTGCCGAGCGACACGCAAGTGGCCGAGCGATACGCAAGTTTCCTGGCGACACGCAAGTTGCCTGGCGACACGCAAGTGGCCGAGCGACACGCAAGTTGCCTGGCGACACGCAAGTGGCCGGGCGACACGCAAGTTGCGTGGCGACACGCAAGTTGCCTGGCGACACGCAAGTGGCCGAGCGATACGCAAGTTTCCTGGCGACACGCAAGTTGCCTGGCGACACGCAAGTGGCCGAGCGACACGCAAGTTGCCTGGCGACACGCAAGTGGCCGGGCGACACGCAAGTTGCGTGGCGACACGCAAGTTGCCTGGCGACACGCAAGTGGCCGAGCGACACGCAAGTTTCCGGGCGACACGCATGCTGCCTGGCGTGTTGGACACGCAAGTCGCCGGGCGTCGTGACAGCGGAGGACGAGGCCGTCTGGAGAGCGACGCGGGGCAAGTGAAGAGTCTGGCAATGAGCGGAGAGACTCGCAAAGAGCTGGTCAAGTCGACGAGAAGAGGGGACGATGAGGAGTTGTTGGGTGCACGAACGAAGGCTCCCCCCCCCCACACACAACCGGTGTGTGTGTGTGGGGAGACGTGTGTGGGAATGAGTGAGTGGTGAGAGAGCCGGTGGAAGAGTTATCAGAGCGCGAGCCGTCTTGTGTTTTGAGCAATCGGTGCACGGCACGCGTGGGGAGGGAGGCGAGAGCGGGAGGGCTAAGGGGATGGACGTCGCTGTGCAAGGAAGTGCACGGGAGAGGGAAAGCAAGAGGCGATGGGGCACCGGTTGAGACGAGATGCGTGGCCCCAGCCAGTGAAAAGCCCAAGAAGCAGCAGAAACAGCAGAGACCACAGTCGAGTGCAGCACGAGAGAGTTGAGAAATCAGTGACATTGCACGCATAGCGGAAGAGTGAGAGAGTGAGGAGATGGTTGCAAGGGGACAGGGTGATAAATGCAGGAGCCGTGCACGGGAGTGACACCGCCGGTGAGATGCAGCAGCAGCAGGAGACACCGAGAGAGGTGCAGACGCCAAGAGTGGGAGACAAGTCAACCTGGAGCAGTACACAGCGGAGCATGCATGAGTGAGGAGAGAGATAGATGGCAGTGACGGACATCATGGGGGGTGGTGGTGGAGGGGTGGGGGGCGCTAACAGTGCAGGCGCCGGCCGTGCAAGCGGAGGCAGCTGGCGGAGAGAGCGAGAGAGACAAACACGGCGGAGAGAAAAGAGGGAGCCGGGGCCACGCACCGACTCCTCCTCCCGCTCCATGCCCGTGGGCATCTGAGGGACGGCGCGGCTGATGGAGACGGCGTCCTGCAGGTCGGGCAGCGCCTCGGCGCGGAACACGGGAAGCGGCTTCGAGGCGTCCAGCGCCCGGGCGCGGAACGACAGCTTGCTACTCATCTCCGCTTGTTTTTTTTTCCCCCCAAGCCAAGAAATAACGCGGTAAAAAAACACAAAGACGGCGCGGGCTGGCGGTGGTGGCGGCGGCAGCGCCTCCACCTCCCCCCGCCGTGAGGCTTCCCCCCCGATCCCCCCACCCCGGGGGGTCCCGCCTCACGGCTCCTTGAGGCGCCCGCTCGCCCCGGCGTCCATGATCGCCTCGCTCCGCGGCGACGGCGGCGGGTGTTGTTGTGAATCGATGGCCGGGGTAGTTGCGGATGGTCGTTTTGTTGTTGTTGTGTTTTTTTTTTGGTCAAGACGCTCGAGGTAAAAAAAAAATCTGTGCTCGGGTTTCGGTTCGCGTCTGAGCCCCCCGTGCACCCCCTTTCGTCGCGCGCGCTCTCTCTGCTCCTGCTGCTGCTGCGACCCCCCCCCCCAGCTTCACTCCCTTCGCTTTTTTCTCCCCTTTAGCGGAGAGACGCCATTACAAGATGGCGGCGGCGGAAAAAAAAACTTCCCGCCCCTGGAGCACGCGCGGCGCGAGCCCCACAATGCACCCCCCACCCCCACCCACACAGCCGCACCGCGCATGCGCGCGCTGTGACGTCGCCCCGCAAACACCCCCCCCCACACACACACAACTCCCGGGGTGTTGCTCAACCATTAAAACCACCCCAGCACACTGGCCGCCCCCCCCCACCCACTTCCTCCTAGGAGTTGATGACGTCACGGATGGGAGGGTTCGGTACGTTGACGGTGGAGGGGGGGGTTTAAAAATGACGTCACGCGGATGACAGTAAACGCCGCTGTTTGTGGTGGGGCGGGTGACGTCATCGCAACGAAAGTGACGTTATGCGAAAGGATTGGAGAAAAGGGAGCAGTGGGGAAGGTCGCGGATCTGCCTTTCGGGTGGGGGGCCGGCGCATAATTGTAACAAAGTGATGTCATGCGCGGGGATCAGGTTTGTTGGTGACGCCAGGCCCCTCCCTCCCCGCTTTGTACAATGACGGCGGGCGATGTCACGGTCCGGCTGCAAACTGGTGGGCAACGTCACGTCTGGTTCAAATTGACGTCACTTCCGGTTCTGGTATTTGTTCCAGGGTCGTCACAATCGGTCGGCGGGAGGATTCGACGGTTGATTACGTCAAAAACGCTTGTCGGTTGACACAAGTCGACCATGACATCACAAACAGGCCAGTGACTGCTCTGACGTCACGATCATAATTACACCAGGCAGTGTGAAGCGACGTCATTTTGTTAAGGAAACTGAACAAGTGATCGCTTGGCAACTTCTTAATAACAAGACGTCACGGGCAGCTACTGTCAGTTGACTACGTCACAAGTGTTAAGCAACCTGGGTGGTCAGAACCAAATTGATGTTCAGATTAAATAATTCCCATTAACTAGGGAGTGGAATGCATCGATCACGTGTCAGGATGATGGGGACTCAAATGTCATTGGGGTCAAAAAAAAATCGCAGTTGCACAGAGTCAGGTAAAAAAAACCCATCGCAGCCAATCCTCGCGAGCGCAAGCCGGGTCCTCGCGAGCGCCGGCCAGCGCTCGCGAGGGACCGGCCGGCGCTCGCGAGGGACCGGCCGGTGCTCGCGAGGACCCGGTCCCTCGCCAGCGCAAGCCGGGTCCTCGCGAGCGCAAGCCGGTCCCTCGCGAGCGCAAGCCGGGTCCTCGCGAGCATAAGCCGGGTCCTCGCGAGCGCCGGCCGGGTCCTCGCGAGCGCAAGCCGGGTCCTCGCGAGCGCAAGCCGGTCCCTCGCGAGCGCCGGCCGGGTCCTCGCGAGCGCAAGCCGGGTCCTCGCGAGCGCACGCCGGGTCCTCGCGAGCATAAGCCGGGTCCTCGCGAGCGCAAGCCGGGTCCTCGCGAGCGCAAGCCGGTCCCTCGCGAGCGCCGGCCGGGTCCTCGCGAGCGCTGGCCAGTCCCTCGCGAGCACAAGCCGGGTCCTCGCGAGCACAAGCCGGTCCCTCGCGAGCGCAAGCCGGTCCCTCGTGAGCGCCGGCCGATCAGCAAAACGACCGAGGCAGCCTAAAATTATACTTTTTTTTAATTCCAAATCTGTTACATCAAAAAATAAAACACGTTACAATTATACCGTTAAAAATCTGCGAATCGCCATATATACACTTCATGAGACGCGGGGGGGGGGGGGGTGTTTGGGGCGGGGGTTGGGGTGAGGGGGCCGCGTCTTCCACCCTCGGTCGCCACCCCCCCTCACCGATAACCGTGTCTCTGCGCAATCCGCACAGTCGGCGAAACCCCCTAAGTACCGTGGAACTCCACCACCTCGCACACGCAGAGAAGAGGTGTGTGGGGAAGGTTATGGAATAATCATCCTAAGAGACCTGCCCCCCCCCCCCATCCCCGGCCTTGTCCCAGTAACCAACATGCAAACGTTGGGTCAACGTTTGGCAATGTGGTTGGAACCGTTTGCCGAACACGTTGGCCCCGCCACAAGGACGTTCCAAGTTTATGGAGGGGGCGTGATGGGTGGGGGGGGGGGAGTAATAATGCTTTAAACAACGGAGAACATGGGTGGGTGGTTTCAAAATTTGGCGCAAAAAACAGCGAGCGCTTGGCTGGCCAGGCGACGGCTGGGATTGACCTGTTATCACCTCTGCAAGCCCCGTGTCCAGCCAACGAAAATAATTACAAGGAGAAATAAAACGTTTAAATATAGGAGAGAAAAGAAACTGCTTTGTGTGTTTTAGAATATTTTTTTTTCACACGTGGCCAAGTCTTAAGGAGAGAGAGAGAGTGAGGAGGAGGAGAGATTGATGGAGGCCTTCTGGAATAAAAATCGCCAAAGGTTTTGAAGAAGTTTGAAAATGTGGCGTCTCAATTTTTCCCCAAAGTAGTTCCTCGAAACGAACCACAGTCCCCAGTGGACGAAGCCCCCCGCACGTACGACGGAGAGGAGAGAACGCTTAATCCCCGTCGTGAACATAGGTCGAAATGAGTACATATATACTTGCTGCGCTGCTCCTCAGCCATCGATGCAGGAGGCAATACCCCTGGGGGACCGATGGGGCCATCTCACGAGCAGATCGTCTTATCGCGCTGCGCGCACCACCTCCACCCCCCACCTTCCGCTCCGCAACCGGAGACTCGGGGTGGGGGGTAAATAGCAAAATCGGGGGCATCCGCAGAACGCCCGGTTGAGTCGAATGCGACCGACCTCGCTCGTAACCGTAAAAGCAGATCCGCTTTCCCACCCCACCGCCCCCCCCCCCGGTCACCCCACCGGCGTGAAAAGCAAATCTGGAGCAGGAAATTATTTTCAACCCCTGGAAAAAACCGCCCCCCGACGCCCGTTAGCACCTGTGCAGACCGGCCACTTTAGAGAGAGTGCGCAGACCGACTTAATTGGTGAAGCAAATGAAACAAACGTCGTTAATTAGTCGTTCGCTCGCCGCCCGTGCGATCTACGCGGTCAAAACAAAACAAAAAAAAATCGCTCCCAAAAACTAACAAACAAAAATTCGCGGGCGGGCAAACGAACGCGTTCCCGTCCGCTTGGCGGCGCGACCGGAGCTAGAGAGCGAGTCCCGACGCTTTCTCGTCTACAAAAACAAAAAATATCGGCCATCGTAATAATACAGCAGTATCGTAACAAGTGTGTACACCGTTTATACAGCGGGGGGGGGGGGGGGGGGGGGGTTTAATCTCACCGAGTCACTCGCCCTCTCTTTCGCTCGCTCTCTCTGCGGCAGGCTTGAAGCAGAGTCCGCGGATCACCGTGTGCAAAAACCTCACCTCCGCGCCAGTGTAAGAACGCGCGTGGACGACGTATCCCATACAGCACCTGCCCCACCTCCTTGCATCCGCGCGACCACAAAAAAAAAACTCTCTCCACGAGCCCTTACCCAACTACAGCGCTGCGATTGGGGAGAGAGGTAGGGCAGGTCAGGGGAAGGTTCGCGAGTGCAACGGAGTTGACCGTTGACACGCCAAAACAACAAAAGGGAAGCCCCCCACCGTCACCAACCCCCCCCACCCCTTTCCTCCATCAGGAAATGCCCCCAAAATAACATTCCCTCTCTCCACCCAGGGTCCTCTCGGCCACGTAGGTTTTGTTGTCGTTGCCGTCTGGCGGTTGTGCCGCTGCTGCTGCTGCTGCTGCAACGGCTCTCCAATGCGCTTGCCCGTGGTGCCGTTGTTGGGCCGTCTGTCCGACGTTTTTACGCCGTCCACGTGCTGGGGAGCTTTCTTCGGGTACAACCGTGAATAAAAAAACACACATCGGAGAAGATCCTCTCCCTCGCGCCCACGTAACCGTCGCAACCGCCGCTACCGCCATGCGGCTTCTTACTGCGTGGTGGGGGGGGCGGGGGGGGGGGGGGGGGGGGAGCGGTTCGCGTGTGGCGCCAATCGGAGGAGAGGGTGGGCGGCAGCGCGGTGCCGGTCAAACCGAGGCCGGGGGACGCGCCAGCAGGACCGGCGTGGCTTCTCGTGTCCACCGTTTTTGCCCGCGGCTGCCGAAAAGGCGGCGGTCGGCCTTTCCCGACCGACGGCACGACCGGACAAAGCGACCGCGATGTCGTATCCTTGTGCCGTCGCACGAAGGGGGAGGCGTCGCGCCACCGTCGAAGTGAACGGACCGGGTTGGAAGGGCGGCCGCTTAGCGCCCGCTGCGCGAGAGAGGGGGCCGGAGCCCAGAGTTCGCGCCCCCCGCGGAACGGAATGTCAAAAGCTCAAGTAGTGTGGTGTGCCCTCGGGTCAAGGGGGTCGGAGATCGGCGGGTCTAGGTGAACGAGGGTCATCTGGATATCTTCCGCCGCTTGGCTCCCTTGGGGGTCTTGTCCGAGCGCCCCTTCGGCTGCTCGTCCGCCTGCGGTAAAGGAAGGACAAGCGCACGCACAGCCGCTTCAGGAAGCAACGATCTCCCGGACACGTGCACCATGCGTCGCTACCCGCCCCCCAGTCTCGTCCCATTTAAAACTTAAAACTCGCTTGCGCAACATTTGAACCCGTTGCAGCCAGGACGAGCTCTGAACGAACCGGCGGTGGACGCCACAATCGGTTACTTCCGGGTTAGACGCGTACCCGTTACCTTGCCCTGAACCAGGGCCACCACTCGGCCCACACTACGGCGCTTGTTGGCAACGCTCCGTCGAGAGAAAGATGCAAATTGGACTGCCCAGCCCGAGGCCAGGCCAAACCACACGCTCACCAGGGAGCCAGTCTTCAAAAACCTGCCCGGTCTCAACCTAGAAATCAGATCCGGAGCGAGCCCAACAAGAGCAGGGCCTGGGGAGCCAGCCCTGGACAGGGTCCGCGTTGGGTCACAGGTGGGCACCCCCGGTTAGCACGGTTGGCTACGTACGGTGCAAAAGAAGTTCAACGTGTGTATGTACGCACGGCGAGTGTGCGTGTGGGGGTGGGGCGATGGTACGTACAGCCTCTGTCATCTTGTCCAGTTCCGTCATGGCTTCCTGGATGGCAGCCTCGAGGCTACTGTTCAGCTTCCGGCTCCTGCAACGCAACGAGCGCACGCGCGGAGTAATTTACGGCGACGATGGTGGTGACGGTGGTGGTGGTGACAGTAAGTCGAAGAATATCGGTACCAGCGCAGAGGTAGAGGTTGCCACGCTTAAATGACCCAACCCGAAAATCAGTTGTAACGCATAGGCTTTGGCCTATAGGCTTTGGCCTATGCGTTACAACTATTCATAATAAAGCTTTTTTGGGGGGTTAGATCACGTAATTTATAGGTGTCGTTAACCCACCATCACCCGACACAGCCAATTAAGTAAGGTTATTTATATTTTTGCAATCCAACCCAAATGTTTTTTTTTATTCCTGCCACGTTTTGTTTACATGACAAGCCTTACTAATTGGCTGTGTCGGGATGTGGTGGGTTAACAAACACGTTTATATTTACGCGATCCAACCAAAAAACAACATCTGTATACAACCCCAAGGTATTGCCCATCAGCAGACTCGCCCACCCCCACCCTCGCTCACCCAACCACTTCACCCACCCACCTCACTTATTCAGTCACCAAACCACCCACAGACTCAACCACTCACCCATCCACACTCACTCATTCGCTCGCCCATCCATTCATTCACCTGCTCACTTACCGACTCACGTACCTCACCCACTTCCACCAGTGCATCGATCCACTGACCCACACAAACTATTTTTTTAACTAAATTATTTTAACTAAACAATTTTTTTTATTTTACCAGGTAAGGCCCACTGAGCTATGCAGTTTTTTTAAAAAGTGACCTGGCCACAAATCATAGCTCAGAGTGGCTAATCAAGTGGACATTTATAGCAGTCAAATACTCTGAACGCGTGACATTGATTCTTAAATCAATGTCACGCGTTCAGAGAAAAATCCACGCGGCCACGTGGAGAGACATCATACAAACTCCACTCACACTGCAGAACAGGGGGAGATCATACAAACTCCACTCTGTGCAGAAGAGAGGGAGATCATACAAACTGTTTAACATGTAGACTTAGGCGACCAATATCATCAATATATATAAAAGGGAAATGTGTGGTGTGTCTGTTCGAAATGTTTAGCATACTTCCCAACATGCAACAAACTTGAAATTTGGCATGTGGGTAGCTTCCAGACTGGACAATGCAAAAAAGTATAAAAATAAACTTTTGTATTTTGGGGGGCAGACGCAATGGATATATTTGGCACGGCAAATGAGCGGTGACGTCACATCTGTGATGTCACCCGCATGTGGCAACGTTACGCAGTATGCCTGCTGACGTCACGCATCACCCCCCCCCGCACCCTCCGCGTAGGCCGTGTATTAACCCAAGACAACAATGCAAGTCCCGGGCGAAGCAGGGTAGTAAAGCTAGTCCATAATATAGAGCAAATCCACAACATTTACAATGTGGATTTGCTCTCCAACACACAACCGGTGTGCTGTACTAGTAACGAATCGGCACGTTCTGTATAACGTGACAAACCTTGCTCATTGGCTGCATCGGGCGGTGGCGGGTTTAACGGCACAACTGTTACATTTACGCGACCTAACCCGAGAAACCAATATTTGATCATACAAACTCCACTCACAAAAAGGCACCAGAGTCAGAAATCGAGTCTCTCCCCCCCACAACACTCTCCTGCTGCGAGACAGGTGCGGGACAGGTGCGGGACTGGTGCGGGAACAGGTGTGCCAGTGCGAGCGGCGAGCGTACTTGCGGTATCGCTTGCGCGCGCGGTGGTGCGCCTCCAGCCCCTCGGACAGAGTCTTCAACTTCTCGGGCTCCACCTGCGTGAAGCTGTGATCTCCGAACCACATGACCCACACCTGCGGCACGCGCGCACGGCGACACAAGAAAGACAAAGATCCCCGTTGTAGCCTCGGCAGACTGTCGGGGCAAGTGCTTGTTAGCGAACAGCAGCGGCTATGAAGGCCGGCACGGTGGCGCACGAGGGGGCGATTGGTGGGCCAGCACCACGCCCGGCCGCCTTTGTCTCCCCAACGACGATGTTTACACAAAGCACCAGGTACTCGTTTGAGGCCGAGTCGACCGAGGGGAGGCCCAGGGCCGGTTCAGATAATCGTCACTGGTGTTGGCCGCGAGCGGGAATCGAACTCGGGTGGACGGTTTCATATCGCAGCACGCTAACTGCTGCACTACCGCTCCCCACAAACACGTGCACACGTACCACACACGTACCACACACGTACCACACACGTACCACACGCGTACCACACGCGTACCACACACGTACCACACACGTACGCGTGTCCGCGCGCGCTCCATGTGTCCATGTCAGTGTCCAGGTGTGTTTGCGTCAGCACGCCTGTGGACCGGGTGGTGCTATCCACCCAGTCGTGTGCCGTGCCGGCCTTCATGGGTGCAACTGGCCCGGCACAGGCGCCGTGGTGACGCGTATGGTGCCGGTTGCGTGCGTGCTCGTCGTTGTCGTTGTCACTGTCACAGCGGTGCACACGTGTCGTCCTAGCGGTGCACACGTGTCGTCCTAGCGGTGCACACGTGTCGTCCTAGCGGTGCACACGTGTCGTCCTAGCGGTGCACACGTGTCGTCCTAGCGGTGCACACGTGTCGTCCTAGCGGTGCACACGTGTCGTCCTAGCGGTGCACACGTGTCGTCCTACCGGTGCACACGTGTCGTCCTAGCGGTGCACACGTGTCGTCCTAGCGGTGCACACGTGTCGTCCTAGCGGTGCACACGTGTCGTCCTAGCGGTGCACACGTGTCGTCCTAGCGGTGCACACGTGTCGTCCTAGCGGTGCACACGTGTCGTCCTAGCGGTGCACACGTGTCGTCCTAGCGGTGCACACGTGTCGTCCTAGCGGTGCACACGTGTCGTCCTAGCGGTGCACACGTGTCGTCCTAGCGGTGCACACGTGTCGTCCTAGCGGTGCACACGTGTCGTCCTAGCGGTGCACACGTGTCGTCCTAGCGGTGCACACGTGTCGTCCTAGCGGTGCACACGTGTCGTCCTAGCGGTGCACACGTGTCGTCCTAGCGGTGCACACGTGTCGTCCTAGCGGTGCACACGTGTCGTCCTAGCGGTGCACACGTGTCGTCCTAGCGGTGCACACGTGTCGTCCTAGCGGTGCACACGTGTCGTCCTAGCGGTGCACACGTGTCGTCCTAGCGGTGCACACGTGTCGTCCTAGCGGTGCACACGTGTCGTCCTAGCGGTGCACACGTGTCGTCCTAGCGGTGCACACGTGTCGTCCTAGCGGTGCACACGTGTCGTCCTAGCGGTGCACACGTGTCGTCCTAGCGGTGCACACGTGTCGTCCTAGCGGTGCACACGTGTCGTCCTAGCGGTGCACACGTGTCGTCCTAGCGGTGCACACGTGTCGTCCTAGCGGTGCACACGTGTCGTCCTAGCGGTGCACACGTGTCGTCCTAGCGGTGCACACGCGTGGCCGCGCTGGCGCCGCACCTTGCCGTCCTCGGAGCGCGTGGGGTGGGCGCTGCGCACCTCGTCGTGCCGCACCAGCTTGCCGGGCCACGACGGGAAGCCCTTGATCTGGCCCCACACCAGGTCGCCCAGGTTGAACGTGCGGGGCCCGTAGTGAGCGTCGTGCATCTCGCCGGCCTCGCCGGCCTCGCCGTCCTCGCCGTCCGCGTCGCCGCCCCCGGCGGGCGCCGGGGATCCCGGCGCCCGGCCGCCGTCCTCGTCCTCGTCCTCGCTGAGGCTGCGCGTGTCCGAGGGGCTCGGCGAGCACCCGTTCACCGGCTCGGGGCGCTCGCCGTTGCACGGGAACGCCGGCGCCTCGCCTGGCGGCGCCGGCGCCGCCGCGCCCAGCGCCCCCTCCCCGTCGTCGGCATCGCGCGCCGCGGACGCCTCCGACGGTTCGGCCGGCGGCGGGGTTGGCGCCGCCGCCGTCTGGGGGGACGGCGGCGGGCTGGCGGGAGGCGCCGGCGGAGGGGAGGGGCGGCCCGTCTCCGCCGTCGACGAGCTCCGCTCCTCGACGCCTCGCGGGTCGCGCCAGCTTGCCGGGTTTTCGTCGGCGGACGGCGTCGCCGCCGCAGCTCGTGGCGACAGAGCGACGGTCGCCTCTCCGCCAGCCGCGTCCGCTCCGCCCGCCGGCGCCGACGCCCCGGCGGCGGTCTCGCCGGGCGGCGGCGTCGGCTCGGCGAGCGCCGGCGGCGATTGCGGCAGCGACGGCGTCCCGGCCGGGGAAGGAGGGGCGGCGGCGACCGCCGCCTCGCGCACCGGCTCCGCGGCGCCGTCGCGGCTCCGCCAACGCTCGTCAGGTTCTGTCGGCGAGACGCCGGCTCCTTCGCAGGTACCGCCGCCTCTCTCGTCCCTCTCGTCGGCTCCACACGGGGGTAAAATCCCGTTGGAGTCGGCGTCCGCCGGTTGCGACGTGTCCTGCGGCGCTTCCTCCCCGGCGCCGGTGCCGCCGCCCGATCCGGCGGGCGTCGGCGCCGGCCGCTCCGGCGAGCAGCTCGGCATCCCGCGTTCCTCCGGCGCGTCTCCCGCCTGCGCCAATTCCCGGAACTCGCACGACCCCGCCACCGTGCCCGTGCCAAACCCTGGGGGGGCGCCGGCGTCCGTCTCCGGCGCAGCCGCCGGTGACGTCACGACAGACTCGGAGGCGCCGGCGCTCGGGACAGGAGGAGACTCGCGGTCCGCAGCAGCAGGAGCAGGGGACGACGCTCGCGCCGGCGACGTGTAGCCCGGCGCCGGCGTAGGCGGCGGCGACCGGTCGGCGCCGGCGGCGTTGCCCGACGGCGACGGCGCGGGGGCGGTGGGCCCACCGCCCTCGGCGCCGGTGTCCCGGTCCGGTCGGGGCCGCGTCGGGCTGGGCGGCGGAGGGGCCGCCGGCGCGGCGTTCGGACAGTCGCGACCGGCGGCGCCGTCCGCGGTCGCCGCCTCCGCGGCTCGGCCCACGTCGACCTGGCGGACGCGGAGAGAATGCCGCGATTCGGACGCAGCCGCTCCTCACCGGCACAGTGGAGCGAGGCCGAGAGTCTTGGTTTTTATCCGGGTCTCGGCCGTCCAATGGAGATTAAACCGAGTGGTCTCATCATCCCCGTCACCAGCGACTCTTTCACCTTATTTTACATCGATATAAAAGGTGTCAAGGAGCTTAAAGAACGGCGACACGGACTGGACCGGTTTAGATTGCAGGCGGCGTGCAAGGCCTGAGGAACGAGTGGCCACCACAGGAGGGGTGGGTGGCTCCTTAGGGATCACAAAGGGATCAGGGCGAGGGGAAGGAAGAGGAAGGGAATGGGCGATGGAGGGGAGGAGGGGAGGATTTACGAAAGGAACGGAAGGAGGTTAAGGAGGGGGGGGAGGGGGAACTGCTCAAGGGTTAGTGGGTGACCACACAGGGTGAATGGGTGAGATGGTGAGGGGGGGGTCACTCACCAGGCTACTCACCAGGTTGAGGAGGCACGTGGGGAGCAGCATGGAGCCCGGCAGCAGTGGCGCCGTCAGGTCTTGGGAGAGAGCGGCGCTCGCCAGAGCTGGAAGGTCGGCTGGACGGACACGCGCAGACACACACGCGGACACGAAGACGTGCACACGCGGACACGTGAACACTCAGATACTTGGACAGACGCACGCAGACACGTGGATACACACACACACCAAGACACGTGGACACACACGTGGACACGTGAACACGCAGGGACACACACAAGCCGACACACGGTCACGTACACACACACTTTGACACGCGGATACACAAGCACATGGAGACACGGAGACGCGCAGTGATACGCGGCAGAAACAGACGCCCACACGTGTGATAATAGCATGGGGAGGTCGTTCTGGGGTCACGCACGCCCAGCTGGTCCTGCCGAGATCCTGGGTTTGTAACCGGATATCACGGCCGCCAAATCGAGATTCAACCGGACTCTCGCGTGCTCCGAGGAGGCGATGTCGGCCCCGCCATCAATGACTCAAACGTAGACCCAAAGACTTGTACAGAGACCCCTCCTAGACCCACACAGGCCGAGTTGTGATGACATCAGATTCTCAAGCGAGTTTACTCCCTTGCTCCCTCATCTCCCATTTCCTCCTCGTCTTTCCACCTCTCATCTCCCCATGCATTCACCCCCCCACCCCCTGCTCCCCCAATCTCCCACCCCCTGCTCCCCCAATCTCCCACCCCTTGCTCCCCCAATCTCCCACCTCCTGCTCCCCCAATCTCCCACCCCCTGCTGTCTTCCACCGATGCGCCCAACTCACCGAGGAGGCTTGATGTGAGCAGGGGGCTCAGCAGGTGGGGCACGAGCGACGCCGGAAGCTTTTCTGCGCCGGCGCCACCGCCCAGCGCCACGGTGGCCGTTCTCCCGCCCGGCGTCGGCAGCAGCAGCCCCTCGCCGACCCCAACGGGCGACGGCATGGCTCCCGGCGGCGCCTCCGCCAGCCCCTCGCCGGTGCCCCCCGTCGCCGGCAAAGAACAGACGGCTGTGGCGAGGTGCGGCGCCGCAAACTTGCCGGCGCCTTGCTCGTTCTGCTGCTGGGCCGGCGCGGAAGCGACCGATTGCCGCCGTTGGCCGTCGTGCGGCGCCGGCGCGGGCCTCGCAGGCGCCGCGCCGGCGGCGTCCTCCGAAGCCGACGTCTCGCCGAGTTCCAACCGCGCCAAAGGCGCAATCGCCGGAACGTCACCGGCGGGCCGCGCCGATGGCGCCTCCGCTTCTTCCCGAGGCAGCGCGTGGCCGGCGCCGGCTTCGCCGCCGCCGCCGCCGCCGCACAGCGGGTTGAGCAGCCCCGCCGTGAGCTGCGGCCCCAGCGTCACGAGCGCCGGCAACGACAGCAGCAGAGAGTTTCCGGCCGCCGCCGCCGCCGCAGCCTCCATGGACGCGGCGGCGGTGAGATTGGCGAGGAAGGCGGTGTCGGCGATGGCGCTCGCCAGGCTCGACGGGTGCTCGCCGAGCGGCGACGGCGCCCCCGCGTCCGGGAACGGCAGGTTCAGCAGCATCGCGCCGAGCCCCTGCGCCGCCACCAGCGCCGCCAGCTGCTGCTGCTGCTGCTGGTGCTGCTGCGCCGTGAGCGCCAGCTGCAAGAGCAGCTGCTGCACCGCTTGCGACTCCGCGTCGGCGCCGGCGGGCAGCGGCGGCAGGGAGAACGCCGCCGGCGCCGACAGCAGCCCGAGGCTCTCGGCGAGGCCGGCGCCGGCGCTGCCGGGCGGCAGCAGCCCCGGGAAGGGGAGCGGAGGCAGCTGCAGGGAGGTGAGCAGCCCGGCCGGCCCGCCGAGCGCCGGCAGAGTCGACTGGCTCAGCAGCGCCAGCTGCTCCTGGGTGAGTAAAGGAAAGGAGCCGGGCAGGGGCAGAGCGGGCGCCAGCGTATCCTGGGGGCTGCCGGTGCCGGACGGTGGCTTAGGAGAGGTGGTGCTCGGGTCCCCGGTGACGGCGGCGGCGGCGGCGCCGTCTTCACCGGACTCTTCTAGCGGTTGCTCCGTCGACGCTTGCGTCGTCCCGTCCGCGCCGGGCTGCTCCTCCGCATCTGGCGAACGCGCGGTGCAAGCGACGCCGGCGAGAGGGATGAACGGGCGTTAAGCGCAATGGCTACGGATGCTGCACAATGACCGTGGTCACAGCATCATCGTCGCGCGGCGCTTTCAGATGCGCTTCTGCGGCCGTCTGGAATGCTCTTCCCTTCCGATATGAGGAAGCCATTGGGAGCTGTGATGAACTTTTAAATAATCGTCGTCTAGATTGACAAACTGCTTTTGTGTTTAATTTGATGTTCTCCCCACCCCCCGCACCTCCGTTGGCTACGGTGCAAATAAAGTTCAACGTACATACATACATATATATGACCGTATTCTCTGGATCATAAGACCACGGACAACTTTTGCTTTAAAACACGGGGGGGGGGGGGGGGCAAAGTACGATTGACAATGCGGAGAAGCTGATATTATCAACAACCATAATATAGATCAGTTTAACACGTAGATGTTTTTTTTTTTTAAGTTCGATCGCGTAAATATAAATGTCGTTAAACCCGACTGCACCCGACAGCCAATTCGTAAGGTTTGTCACGTAAACAGAACGTGCCAATCTTGTGCCAATTCGTCACTAGTACAGCACACCGGTGTGTTGGGAGAGAAAATCCACAACACTTACAATCCGAGTACAACGTTTCGCCAGTAATTACAACTAGCTTCAGCCTGATGATGCTAGTTGTAATATTTACGCGATCTAACCCAACAAACCTATATTATTGATGACATTGGTCGCAAAAGCCTACATGTCAAATTATCCACAACAATTGCCCATTTATGTACCCAGGAAAGCCTAAACGAGTCTCTCGCATTGAGTAATTTTCAAAGTATTTTTTTTTGTTTTTATTCAGCATTAGGATGTCTCGGCCGATAACGGTTACAATGTATGGAAGGGTTATTTAGCTGTGGGAGGAAAGCGGAGGACAGGGGGGAGATAACAATAACACAAACTCCACACAAAAGATGACGAAGGGGGCATCGAATTCCCCACTCACTCACTGCGCGGAGCAGGAGAGAACAAACAACAACAACAACCACCATTCGCTAAGTGATGGTGACGTCATCACGTACCAGGCTGTGTGCACTTTGAGGCTACGTGAAGTGTCGAACGCCCGCTGGCAGGTCACGGGACAGACCCAAGTGCCATGGGTTGACTTTCTGAGATGACTGGCCGATGCTGTCCGGCGCGCCGCTCGTTGTTGCGAGCATCGCTCCTCTGAACCTCCGTTGTTGCTGGAGGGCGATTGCCTCCAACTGACCAGTAGCGGCCTTCACGAGCCTCCTCCACAGAGGCCGATCTTGACACCGCTGGTACCAGTCATCGGCAAGTCCACTCAGCTCCACGTCCTCCTGTACCACGTCACTCCATCTCTTCTCTAGCCCGTGCCGTGCCCATTTAGCCCCCTCGATCCGACCGAACAAAAGCTATTTCGGCATGCGGTGGCTAGGCATGCGGGCTACATGACCCAGCCAATGCAGCCTGATGGAACCAGATCTTTCAAGGATTTGTGAGCTCCTCACACAATCCAGCCGGGTTAAACAGATATTATGATGTCATATAGGGCAGTCTTCACACTGCTTTTCATGGTCTCAGACTCTGGATCGCCTTCGGTACATCAACAGATGGTACTTCAGCCAGCTACTCACAGGGGGTGACTTCTTCCAATATTTGAGGCACATCAGCCCCATGATGTTTTCCAGGCCGAGGGATTTCCCCTCCCCCAAGACTTCACAGAAACGCTCAGCAAATCTGCAAACCTGTTCCTGGGGGTCGGAGATCGGATCACCTTTGCTTCCCCTAAGGATGGTTAAGGTGTGGTGCTGCAAGTTACTTATTTGATGTAATTAAAAAGTGATTTGTGATTGCGGGCTACTGGGGCAGACTCCATCTCCTCAGCAACCTGTGCCACCCACCACTCATCCTTGCAAAGCCACATGGCTCTCTCCGAACCTCCGAGTGAAGGCAGTGGTAAACGTCCTCATTTTCCGACGTGTTATGCTGTAAGAAGGTGGGAGTGGGCCTGTCGCTTCTTCTCAGCCAGCCAGAACACCTGCTCTGTCAGCTAGGGTCTCTGGGGAGGTCTGGACTGTGTACCCAAAGCAGCCATTGCAGCTTCATGAGTCACAGTCCTAAACCTCGCCCATTTCCCCTGGACATCAGGAGGAGTGGGGGACGAAGCCAACCCAGCTGCAAGCGATGATGAAATTCTCGCTTGCAACTTTCATCAGCTAGCCGAGACGAGGCCACTGTGGGTTTGAATGGGGTCCTGGGTGTACACCCACCACCAGAGTCTAGCCGATGGTCAGTGGCCAGATCAGCTCCACAGTAGGTCCTGGTGTCAAGAACATGGGCCCGCATCCACTGTTCCGTCACTATGTAGTCCAGCAGATGTTCTTGCTTGGACCCGGCATGCATCCATGATGTTGTGTGAATGCCCCCATAACGGAACAGCGTGTTGGCGATTCCAAGCCCATGGGCTTCAGAGAAGTCTAGCAGCCTCCTACCGTTGATATTGAGCTCATCTGGCCCATGCCTTCCAATCACTCCAGACCAGGTCCCAGGATCATGACACTCAGGCATTAGTCACCCAACAGGATTACTATCCCGAGGGGCCACTCTTTAGCTAGCACCTGTGATAGGAGGTCATAGAACGCATCGGACTCATCAGCCTTGCCTACATCCCTCCACCAATGTTCATCTTCGCTGGGGACGGAAGCAATCAGCATCATCACCACTTCACGCCTCTGGTTGATGGGGAAGTGAGCCCGCATTAGCCTGGGGCTTACCGCTTCCCACACCTCACCGCCAAGTTCCCATACCCCCTTCATTCTTTTGTTCCGAAGAAGAGCCACTCTCCCTGTTGTTTGGAAGTCTTCTGTCCCGAGCAGAGGGCTGTCCACCCCTCATGGTGAATGAAACCAGAGCCAGTCCACCGGACCTCCCAAATATCACATAGATCCAAGCGGTGCCGGTCCAGCTCCCTACAGGAGTGGCAGCCTCTGCAGTGAACGTTCGAACATTCCACGTGGCCACTCTCCTCACACACACTGTGGAAAACAGGGGGAGAGACCATACAAACGCCACTCACACAGTGCAGAACAGGGGCAGAGAGATCCCACAAGCTCCAACACAGAGAGGGGCCACTTGCCCCCAAGGCACAAGTGCCACCCTGCCAAGGGTTGCATACGAACGAGAGAAGAGAGAGATCCAACTAACAATACACCAACCGGCGACGGTCGTATCCCGCCGGGCCTCGGCGCAATCCGGCGCCTCCGCTTGCGCCGCGCCGGCGTCGCCCGCGGGGTCCTCGCCGCCGGCGCTCCCGGTCCCCCCGGCGGGCAGGACGGGCGACGGCGCGGCCGAACCCGGCGCGGATTCTCCCGTTCCGTCCGGCGCTGGCGACGGCGTTGGGAGCCGGTCCACGGGGGTCGCCCCCCTCTCGCCGGCGCCCGACTCCGGCAGGGACAGATCCAGCCCCACCTCTTCCTCAGAGTCCTTCCACTCGTGCCCGCGAGTCCTGGTGTTCTCGCCGGTGGCCTGGGCGGCGGCGGCCGTGGTGGCGGTGGCAATGGCGGTAGCGCCGCTCACGCCCACGGAACGCTCCTGTGCTCGGCCGGGCGAGCTCGCTCCCCCCTTCGACCGCGCGGTCGCCACCGCGCCGCCGGCGCCATCAACGACCCCGTTGCCGGCGCCGCATTCGTCCACGCTCACCCTGGCGGCGACGGCACCGTCCAAGTCCCAGCCGTGACCCTTCGCGGCAGCGGCAGTGCCGGCGTCGTCCGGGGAGGCAACCTCGGCTGCCGCCGCCGGCGCCGCCGCCGCCGCCGCCGGAGCCAGCTGGTTGCCCGCCGCCCTCACGCCACCGGCGCTCGCCTGTTGCGAGCTCATGCTCTGCAGCAGCTGCGACATGGGGTGGCTCCCAAGCAGCCCGCCGCGCCACAGCACCTGCGGCGAGCCGGCCCGCCCGTCGGACGGCGCCTGCTGCTGCTGCTGCTGCTGCTGCCGCTGGTGCATCAGCTGCTGCGCCGGCTGCTGCTGCTGCTGCTGCTGCGGCACCTGTTGGCGGAGCATGCTCAGCACGTCGGCGGCGGTGGGGCCCGACGACGGCGGCGCGCGGTGGCGCCGGTGGTGACCCCCGCTCAGCCGCTCGCGCAGGGACGGCGCTGCGCCGACGGGGCCGCCGGCGCCGTCCCCGCCGGGTAGCAGCACGCTGCCGGCACCCTGGAAGACGCCGCGCTTGCTCGGGAGGTCGGTGCCGCCGGGCTGCTTGCCCTGGTTGGCGAGCTGGGCCTTGGCGGCGGCCGACAGGAGGCTGCTGGCCGGGTAGGAGGTCGGGTTCTGTTGACTCAGCACCTGGAGAAGTAGAAACGAGTGAGAGTGGGAGTGAGTGAGTGAGTGGGAGGAGGGGGGGATTTTAGCAAGTTATGTTTGCGCGGCAGGGTAGCGGCAGTGATGACACTTGTTGGCTTCGCAGCAAGAAAGCCTTGGGTTCACTTTCCGACGACTCGGACACCCTTTCTGTGTGGAGTTTGTCGCACCACGTGATCAAAGATGATGTAAAATAGTGTAGGGGAACAGAGGACATGCTCTGTAGGACAGGGAACGGCTCCGACTCCCGGGCAAGCAGCTTCACCTGGGCATGCTCGCCATCGTGGAGACCCTAAATGATTTTGAGCAGTGTCAGGGAACCCGAAAGCAATGAAGAAACCAAAAGGTTGTAATTACCCACACAATCTCTTACACACACACACATTCAAAGATTCCCCTTGTAGCTTTAAGTACTAGCTATTAAGGCCGGCAAAGCGCACGATGGGGTGGGTTGCCAGTACCACACCTGGCCGCCTTTGTCTCCCCAGTGGCGATGTTTACACATCGCACCAGGTACTCATTTGAGGCCGAGTCGACCGAGGGGAGGCCCAGCACCGGTTCAAATATTCGCCGGGTATGTAACCACTTAACCACCGCACGCACACACACACACACACTTTCACACGACTACACACACACACTTTCACACGACTACACACACACACTTTCACACGACTACACACACACACACACTTTCACACGACTACACACACACACACTTTCACACGACTACACACACACACACTTTCACACGACTACACACACACACACACACTTTCACACGACTACACACACACACACACACTTTCACACGACTACACACACACACACACACTTTCACACGACTACACACACACACACACACTTTCACACGACTACACACACACACACACACTTTCACACGACTACACACACACACACACACTTTCACACGACTACACACACACACACACACTTTCACACGACTACACACACACACTTTCACACGACTACACACACACACTTTCACACGACTACACACACACACTTTCACACGACTACACACACACACTTTCACACGACTACACACACACACACTTTCACACGACTACACACACACACACACTTTCACACGACTACACACACACACTTTCACACGACTACACACACACACACTTTCACACGACTACACACACACACACTTTCACACGACTACACACACACACACTTTCACACGACTACACACACACACTTTCACACGACTACACACACACACTTTCACACGACTACACACACACACTTTCACACGACTACACACACACACACTTTCACACGACTACACACACACACTTTCACACGACTACACACACACACTTTCACACGACTACACACACACACACTTTCACACGACTACACACACACACACTTTCACACGACTACACACACTTTCACACGACTACACACACTTTCACACGACTACACACACTTTCACACGACTACACACACACACTTTCACACGACTACACACACAGACACTTTCACACGACTACACACACACACTTTCACACGACTACACACACACACACGTGCCGGTGCTACGCCACAACAAACCAGACAGCACAGCCTCGCGAGCGAGCCTTCACCGCACCTGGCACAGCGGTGTGCCCAGGAGGCCCGGCTGTTGTTTTCCCTGCTGCTGCTGGTGCTGCTGCTGGTGGTGGTTGCTGGCGTACGAGTGCGACGCCACTGCCGCCGCACCAGGCAGACCGATGAGAATGGACGGCGCCAGCTCCTTGTAGCTGGTGTCCCCGCTCAGCCGGGGCGACCGGGCCGCCGGACCCCGCGTGCCGCCAGCACCGCCGGCACCCTCGACGCACCCCGAGCCGGAGCGCGGCCTCTGAGGCGAGGCGTCGGCGCGGCAGCCCGCGGGCCCCGCGCCGTGGTAACCGTCCGGCGAGCCCACGTGGTGCTGCTGGTGGTGGTGAAGGTGCTGAGACGCGGATGTCGGCATCATCATCGACGACGACGCCGCCGCCACCGCCGCCGCCGCCGCCGCCCGTGCCAAGAGATGGTTACCGTGACCGCCCCCCGATCCGGCGCCACCGCCCCCTCCTCCCGCGCCACCGCCGCCGCCGCCGCCGCCGTGCTTCATGGCGGTCGGCAGCGGCAGGTTGCTAGGCAACGGCACAACCACTGGCGTGGCGTTGAGCGGCGAGGGCAGCGCAAACGCCGTGGGGTTCATGAACTGTCCGCTGGCGCCGCCGCTGATAGCGGCGCCACCGCCGGGATTGGCGGGCCGTGCCGGGATGGGATCCAGGATGCCGAGCGGGTCTTTCTCGGTGCCGCCAATAGGACTGCGGCGCAGCGCGCACGCCGGCTTGCCGCCATAGTAGCCATGGGCCGCGGCGGCCGCCGCTGCGGCCGCCGCCGCCGCGGCCGCCGCGTGCTCCGCCAGCGGGAGGCCGAACGGCGCCGCCTTCTTGGCGAACGGGCTCTTGGGCGTGAGCGTCGGCGAGTGCGGCACGGCGCCGGCGCGGCTCGTGGCGGCCGCCGCCGCTGGCGGGCAGCCCGCGGGGAGCAGCCCTCCCGCCGCCGCCGCCGCCGCCGAGGGGCAGAACCCCGGGCTGCACCGGCTGCCGTAGGCGTCGGGGCTGCCAACCGACTCCGCGCAGGGCGAGGTGGCGCCTTCGCCGAAGAAGCACGAGCTGCTGGAGGAGGCGGCGCTGCTGAGGCTACCTTGGCTGCCGTAGTACGGGGACCGCTGGCCACGCTCGCCGCTCCCCACTCGCTGGCGGCCCCCGGACGAACCGGCGCTGGCACCGCCGGCGCAAGCGTCCTGGGGCTCCGGCGTGCCGCCGAGAGCCCACTCGGAACCGCCGAGCCGAGGCCGGGCGCCGGCGGGCACGGGCGGCTCGGGCGCCGCCTCGCACGGCCGCACGGCGTTGGCGCCGTGGCCGGCGCGCAGCCGCGAAAGGAAGGAGTTGGCGCGCGCGGAGAGGCACGAGGGGAAGAGCAGCTCGGTGCCCGGCTTGGCCCGGCCGGAGCGGGCGCCGGACCCGGCGCTGCGTGGCGCGGGACGCACGCCGCCCTCGCCTGCAACGGGAGAGGAGATCAGCGGTGGCGCCGTGGCGATGGTGGCGAGCGGGCAAATGTACGAGTGGCTCGGTGCGTGGCAATTCACTCTCTCCATCCGACCCATCCACCGCATCCACCCAACCAACCACAACGATCGCGCAGCAATTCCCACCGGCCCACTCACCAGCAGAGGAGAGCACCATGGCGGTGGCGGTCGTGGTGCGGTGATGGTGGTGGCGGTGGTGGTGCCCTCCCGTCTCCATGCTCTTGTGGAGCGTTGCCATGGCGATTATCTTCCGCTTGTGGTTGCAGAGCTTGGTCATGTCGGCGTCCGCCTTCACGTCCTCCGCCGAACGCGGCCGCACCGCAGCTCCGCGCTCAAAGTTGAACACCTGACCCATGTGGGGTAGGGGGGCGAGGGAGGGAGATTGTGTATGGGTCTGTGTGTGTGTGTGTGAGAACATCGCCACTGGGGAGACAAAGGCGGCCGGGCATAGTGCTGACAACCCACCTCTTCGTGTACCATTCTGGCCTTCATTGGTGCTCAATAACAGCACTTGCCCCACAAAGTATGCCGAGGCTATACGGGGGATCTTTGCCATTGTGTACAGGTAGCGCCCTCCAACAACAATGAAAGGCGGAGGTGCGATGCTCATTAAAAGAGCGGAGCGCGCCTGAGATGGCTAAGTCACACCGAGTTGGTACAGTAGGGAGCAGCACAGGTGGTGCGCATCTGCCGGTCATCTCAGTCGATCAACCCATGGCGCCTGCTGGTTCTGTTCCGTGTGACCTCCTGCCATGATCAGCGAGCCTTTGACATTCCACGTGGCCACCTGACAGTTGCACCTAGCCTGGCACAAGCGCTGTGCTGACGCCCGTTGTTGCACAGGCTTGTTGGCGTATGGGTCCATTCGTACGCGGGTCATCCTGTGTCGCTGTGTCCATCTCTGTGGGTCAGTATGCGTCTCTGTATCAGTATGCGACTCTGCGGGTCAGTAAGCGTCTCTGTGTATCAGTATGCGACTCTGCGGGTCAGTATATGGTGTCTGGGCAGCAGTCCTGCAGTGGTTCGCATGCTACGCTCCAAAGTAAGCTCGCAATAATCGTCAGGCCATGAAGATTACTATCCGGCCGTTCTCCGATGTGTGCCTCGGGTTGCCCAAACTGCCTTCCGGCCAATATCTGGCACCGAGGTGCCGTAGCAAATAAGTTGTATTATTTAAACGGCTACTTTCTCTATTAAGCTGGGATAGCAGACACCCGGTAAAGTCACGTAGAAGGGAAACAATAAAATAATAAAAATATAACAATAAAATTATCACGACGTTTCAACTGCAACACAAGAAATCATCATCAGGTGTGAAAACCACAGCAAGAAATTTTTATTTTATTTGATGGTTTCCCTTCTACGTAACTTTACCGAAAGAACCAAGAATATGAACCCGAAGGATAATATAAAAAAACATCCGGGCTTCGGAAACTCCTTTCTGGAGAAGCTCCCAGCACGCGCAGCGAAACGTCGGACAACCACACACCGCAAGAGGCCGCACACGGCAGCACAACCGCGGACACCCCACGCGGCCACGATGTCGTAGCGCGTCGCGACAAACAAAGATTATGGCGGCAACCCCGAGCTCCGGCCGTGCGTGATGGGGGTCCCAGATGGGTCTAGACTGTGTGTGATGGGGGTCCCAGATGGGTCTAGACCGTGTGTGATGGGGGTCCCAGATGGGGTCTAGACTGTGTGTGATGGGGGTCCCAGATGGGTCTAGACCGTGAGTGATGGGGGTCCCAGATGGGGTCTAGACCGTGAGTGATGGGGGTCCCAGATGGATCTAGACTGTGTGTGATGGGGGTCCCAGATGGGGTCTAGACCGTGAGTAATGGGGGTCCCAGATGGGTCTAGACCGTGAGTGATGGGGGTCCCAGATGGGGTCTAGACCGTGGGTGATGGGGGTCCCAGATGGGGTCTAGACTGTGTGTGATGGGGGTCCCAGATGGGGTCTAGACTGTGTGTGATGGGGGTCCCAGATGGGTCTAGACCATGAGTGATGGGGGTCCCAGATGGGTCTAGACCGTGAGTGATGGGGGTCCCAGATGGGGTCTGGACCGTGTGTGATGGGGGTCCCAGATGGGGTCTAGACTGTGTGTGATGGGGGTCCCAGATGGGGTCTAGACCGTGAGTGATGGGGGTCCCAGATGGGGTCTAGACTGTGTGTGATGGGGGTCCCAGATGGGTCTAGACCGTGAGTGATGGGGGTCCCAGATGGGGTCTAGACCGTGGGTGATGGGGGTCCCAGATGGGTCTGGACCGTGGGTGATGGGGGTCCCAGATGGGGTCTAGACTGTGTGATGGGGGTCCCAGATGGGGTCTAGACCGTGAGTGATGGGGGTCCCAGATGGGGTCTAGACTGTGTGTGATGGGGGTCCCAGATGGGTCTAGACCGTGAGTGATGGGGGTCCCAGATGGGGTCTGGATCGTGTGTGATGGGGGTCCCAGATGGGGTCTGGACCGTGAGTGATGGGGGTCCCAGATGGGTCTAGACTGTGGGTGATGGGGGTCCCAGATGGGTCTGGACCGTGAGTGATGGGGGTCCCAGATGAGTCTAGACCGTGTGTGATGGGGGTCCCAGATGAGTCTAGACCGTGTGTGATGGGGGTCCCAGATGGGTCTGGACCGTGGTTGATGGGGGTCCCAGACTAGCCTGGACCGTGGGTGATGGTAGGGTCCCGGACCGTCTGTGCTCACCTTGTGCAGCACGAGGGGGCACTCCAGGCCACACTTGCAGGTGCCGTCAGCGAGCAGGTAACTCTTCACCTCCTCCATGGAGCACAGCACGCTGCCTCCGGGACTGAATGCGGACAAAGAACAAAGAGTCCCCCACCCCCACATGGTAGCAGCCCGATTGTTAGTTATCGCGACACCTACGCTTGTTTGTGCAGGAAGGGCTCAAACGAGTCTCAATAATCTTTTGCAGGAGGGTTCTGCCTTTATTTTTGCAGAGAGGGGGCAAGGAAGGACGGGGGGGGGGGGGAGGCGATGTTGCTGCCAAGCGTGCAACATCAAATTGGGAAAATTTTACCGATTATTATTTTTAGCATTACGATGTTTTTGGAAAATACCGATTACATTGTGTGTGTGTGTGTGCGTGCCTGTCCATTAGCTACTGGAGAACCCGGAGGAAACCCAAAACAAAATTGTGGGCGAGAACTACAAACTCCAAGAGCAAAACGCGCAAGTTGGGCATCGAATCCAGGCACTTCTTTCTGTGAGGCTTGATATCTTCACCACTGACCATGCCCGTCAACCCCTGATCAGTGCCCTACCTTATTACAAACCAATTCACACCTTATTGGTCACACCGTGCCCTTTATAAATCGCAACGTTCATCCTACAAAGTCCCATCGCAAGGCAGAAACACAAAGACAAAACTTAATTTTTGTTGCCCGTATTGAAACGGCTATACTCACTTTGCCTGTATAAGAATACGGGGTGAGCTGTGGTGGATTGACACGGTGTGCCACCGACCCACCCGACTGCTGACCAACCACAAAAGGGGCGTACACGTGCGCACCAAGCCGTCAAGTACGGCAACCTGTAGCTGCTGTTGCCACGGCCGTACCCGATGTATGGCGAGCGGCGGTGCAGCGGTTAACGCGCTGCCGCGCTACTGAGCCCCGCGACCCGGGTTTGATACCCCGCTCACGGTCATCACCGGTGACGATTATCCGATCCGACCTCGGCCCTCCCCGAGATCGACCTCGGCCTCAAACGAGTACCTGCCGAGGTGCGTAAACATCGCCACTCGGGAGACAAACGCAGCCGGGCGAGGTGCTGGCCCACCCACCCCCCTCGCGTGCCGGCCTTCATTGGGTGCCGCTCGCTAACAGCGCTCGGCTCCCCCCCCCACAGTCTGCTAAAGACGACACGGGGGAATCTTTGTACCTGGTGTAGGTGACGGCGTGCGACTCCACCTTGCGCTGCCACCCGACGGGCACCATGGCCGCCGCCGCCGCCACCACCAGCACCTCGTGAGCGCCGGACGTCTCGCCCTCTTTAGCGCCATTCATGTCGCCGTGACGGCTGCGTCGCCGCCGCCGCCACCCCCCCGCCCCCCCGCCAACCCGCCAACCCGCTCCTTCCCTCTCTCGGCTCCCTTCCAGCTCGCCCGCTCTCGTCCTCTCCCGCTCTCGTCCTCTCCCGCCCGTCGCCCGGGCCGCGTCTCACGTCATGCTGGCGCGCTCGCCCCCCGCGAGCTGGCGCCGCGACGCGACGGCCGGAGACGCGGCGCCCCCCTCGGACGTCTCGCTGCCGTCGTCAACCCGCCGCCGCCGCCGTCGTCGCCGCCGCCGCCAACGACGATCGGTCGGAGACGATTCTCGGACTTCCACGTCTCGTTCCCCTGCCCACCCCCCCCCCACCCCACCCCACCCCAGCCAACACCCCTCCGCAACCACGACGCCGGCCGAACCAATGCCGGCTGCTCAGCGGCGGTGCGGGGGCAAAAGCGTCATCGCGACGGTGGATCGCCGGGCACCGCCACACCCTGCCGGCGATTAAAAGACGATGCCGACGCCGACGCGGCGCCTCGCGTCTCAGCCCGTTCGTCAACGCCAAAGCCACCGCCGGCCGGGAAATGCGGCGGCAGCCATGGTGACGAAGAAGCCAGGCCCCGAGCCGGCCGTGCCGGTCGGATCGCCCCGGTCGGATCGCCCCTCTCGTCTCCCCGATCGTTTGCGCCGGTGCGTCCGATTGTCCGGTTCGGATCCGTTGGTCTGCCTCCTCGTCAGGGCCGCGCGGAGCGGCACGGATGAAGAGGGCCCTTTGTCGGGCCAGACGGCATGACGGCACGCGGGGAGAGCGAGAGACCTGGAAATTAAATATAAACAAACACGGATGTGTCAACACAGAAAGATCCTCCGCACGGCCACGCACGTCGCTGAACGGAGGCCGTTGCTGATAGCGGGCAGCCATTAAAAGGCCGTCCCAGTGCACAAAGCGTCGAGGCAACCCAGAGTAGGCCCCCTGCACAGGTTCCAATATCATCAACCCACCAATGCCAAGCGTGGCGGGGGGGCAGGGCGGGTGTCATCTTGCTAGTCTTGTTCATTCAATTCTCGTGAAGGTACATTTGCAAGCAATAGACTGTGTGCATCGAAACCCAATCTCACGTGCACCATTCCACGCGTGCACTGTCAGCATATCGAATCGGTAAAATCGAAAGGGATCATCATTACACGCCTAAGGAGTAAAGCCCCGCATCTTTTATTATTACGCTTGGGGGATGCTGCGGTGTCTAAACCCAATTGAGTAACTTTGCAGATAATTTTTCAGCAACGGAATGTGGTTTTGGCCAACACCAGACTGACTATTGTTACGGGGTATTATTTTTGTTTATAGCTATGGGAGGAAACCGGAGAATCCAAAGGAAAACCCATGCAGAGCAGAGCAGGGGAGAGAACATACAAACTCCGCACACAAAAAAAGGCACCCCGAGTAGGGCATCGAACCCAGGCTCTTCTTGCCGAGGAGGCGCACGTGTTAGCACGGTGCCCCCCCCCCCCCCCCCCCCCAACTCTAAAAACAACGGCACGCCGCGGGAGGCGGCGGCGAGACGAAGAGTAAGAGCGGCGCGTGAAGGTGCGGCCCGTGGAACTGGCGAGACGGAGGCGCCGATCGGGGGACGAGCAAACGAGTTTGCAGTGGCGCGCGTGGTGGGGGGGGAGGGGGGGGGTGAATGTAACGGGCCGCCCGCCAAACGGCACAAATCCAATCGCAGCCAGCAACGTCGGTTCCACACCGTCGTCGTCAGTAGCCAGCCACGGTCAATCCACCGCCGGGCGGATGCCTTCCCCCCCCCACAAAAAATTCCGCCACCTCCTCAGGATCCTGTGGCGTCGCAGTAATAATAATACACCGAGAGACCCGGTGCCATCGCTCCATGCAACGACGACAAAGTGAATGCTATCATACACATACTCGCACATAAAACATAAAGACAAAGATTCCCCCGTATAGCCTGAACAGAGTGTTTGGGCAAGCGCTGTTAGCGAGCAGCGCCTACGGAGGCCGCAGCGGCACACGAGGGGGTCCGGTGGCCGGCGCCACGCCGGGCCGCCTTTGTCTCCCAAGTGGCGATGTTTACACACCCCACCAGGTACTCAATTGAGGCTGAGTGGACCTAGGGGAGGCCCAAGACCGATTTAGATAATCGTCACTGGTGTTGGCTGCGAGTGGAAATCAAACTCGGGTCATAGGAGCGCACAGCACCAACCACGACACTGTCTCTCCCCACGCACACACGTACAAACGTACACACACAAAGACCCCCCCCCCCCCCGTATAGCCTTAACAGACTGCCTGGGGACAGGTGCTGCTAGCGAGCGCCTGTGGCGGGCTCCAGGACTTTACAAGTAACCAAATAACACGCAACCTTAAAAAACGGTTAAATGTGCAGCCTTGCTATTCCTTTCTCACGCCACAACTGGAATAAATGAACTTGCTCCTCCCTACATTAACGACCTCCTTGAGCCATCAAGATCTTCAGATTGTGCATTGCTCACCGTCTCACGGTCTCCAGACGTCACACCTGGGGGTGGCGACGGTGCCTCTGCAATTGCTGCACTACAACTCTGGAACTTGTAGCCCCCTCTCGAGGGGGTCACGACTTGCGAGGCGCCACTTACAAATGTTCACATCGCGCCTAAAAAAAAATGTCTCTCTCTGGTTATTTTCAAGCGTCTCTCCTTCTCGACTTGGTTGTTGTTAAAAATGTTCTGCCTTTCCATGCGTAGCGGCCCCGAGAATGATTGCTTAAGGGCACTTTCTAAATTTACATTGTTATTATTATTAAGCTCCTCCACGAGGAGGGAGTTCCAGAGAGGGACTTCTCCGGAGCACCTCCAGGAGAGTATTTTGGCCTCCTCTTTCAACGCTGGCCCTATGTTTTGGAAGAAGCGGTTCTCGCACCCACACTTTACCCCACAGCAGGTGACCCGCCGATGGGCTGCGGCGCACCCGTTTGGTGGTCAGCGGTGGCCAGCGGGGTCGAATTTAAGCTGCCCACGTGACAAATATACGGTCCACCCTCGATTGTCACGAGCGTAACGAGAGATTTTTAAAACCAACGCGTCGTTCGGACCCTCCGAGTGTGCCGCGCCGTTTCTCAAAGACGCCGGCGATTGTGGCCTTCCTTCCATTCAGCGCCACGGTTGCTAGGAGATGTTAACTCCCTCGCCTGGTTTACAGGAGGTCATGGGTTAAACCCCGACGCCTGTATATTTGGGGCTTGCATGTTCTCCCCGTGGTCGCGTGGATTTTTCTCCAGGTTCTCCGGTTTTTCCCTCCACATTTGAGATGCTTTCATCGATTATTTGGCTGCGATTAATGTCCACACGCCAAACCAATTTGTCGAGCTATCGTTTGTGATAGCCAGTGGGCCTCAACTGGTAAAAACATATGTAAAATAGTTTATAGCTCTGCGTCGCGATATTTACTCAAGAACTCTGCTTTAGCAAAGCCCGATTAGCACGGTTGGCTACGTACGGTGCAAAAGAAGTTCAACATACATACGTACAGTGGATGCTCCCAATTGCAATCCAATTGCTTTCGGTGAAACGTAATTCGCCGGCTGGCCTGGCTTATGATACCTACAATCCCAGTAAAAAAACATGTATATCAGTCAACTTTTCTCATTACGTGTCAAAAGAACTCTAACTTGGCCTTTCTTTAAAACGCTCAAAAAAATCCCCCCCCAACTAAATGTATCCCAACTGCACAATCGGTGTCCAGGGTCGTCAGAAGCAGTACGTACGCTCAACTTCTTTCGCAACAAACGTAGCCAACGGTGCTAAATTGGAGGTGCGAGATGTGACAAAGAATCCAAATAAAATCCATTATAAGAATATATTCTTATATTTTGATGCTGGCAAGGGAGGTCCCATGATAGAACCCATTAGTTTAACATGCAGTAGTAGAAGGCTCTCACGACCAATATTATCCATGATCGCGTAAATGTGTCGTTAAACCCGCCACCACCTGACACAGCCAACTAGTAAGGTTTTTCACGCAAATAGAACGTGCCAATTCGTTACTAGAACAGCACAGAGCCAAGCCACAACATTTACCATCCGAGTACGACGTTTTGCCAGTAATTACAACTGGCTTCATCAGGCGACAGACAGATTTGTGGAGAAGTACTCCTGTTTATACTATTTGTTTTTTTCAGTAAAGTCACGTAGGTAAAACATTTTATTAAAATAAATGAAAACGAAATTAAATGACAACGTTTCGGAGGCAACACAAGCTTCCTTCATCAGGTGTATATATATACACAAAACAGTCTATCATCACAAATAGCTCTCTACAGTTATTTTGCTGTACCCTTTTTACACCTGATGAAAGAAGCTTGTGTTGCCTCCGAAACGTCGTGATTCAATTTAGTTGTTTTCATTTATTTTTATTTTATTTTCTACCTACGTGACTTTACCGAAAAAAACCAAAGAGCATGAATCCTTGCAGTCACGAAAGCTTCAAATCTACTCCTGTTTAGTTCCTTAAATAGAAGGGTAGATGTGATGACAACAGTTGTGTGCTCTTGGAGAATCCGTTATGATCTCTAACGGAGCCGTACGACAACCTCGCGTCAAACGACGGGTTCGCGGAAGCGGATATAGCGGAGCTACATCAGAAATCCCTTCGCGCCACCTCCGCCCCACACAGCGGAGGAATGGCGGTGCCAGCATGTGGGCACGTTCCCCACCTGCTCTGCCAGCGAGAGTTAACGGTTCGGCCGCACGACGGTCATAACCGATGTTTATTTCGTCAGCCGTGGCTTAGGAATCGAACTTAAGAGATCACCAGGTTGGGAGCGAAGTACGGTCCACCGTTCTACCTCGATGGTAGCACCGATCGGGGATTACAATCGGAGGGAAAAAAATGTAGCGTTTTATAAACTTTTTACAAGGAATGGATTTTGAAATAATTTAAATCGACGCATTGTTAGATCCCCCAAGGGACGAGTTAAGGCTGAAATGCAGAGAAAGGAGGTGGGGAAGATTAAAAAAACGGAGTTTGCAGTCGCAAAATTATGTCCGGTTGACTTTTTTTTTCATCGAAAACTACTGGGGAAAGTTGCTTGCACCTTTAAATAATAAATGAAGATCACGCCACCCTCAGCAGACTGCACTCGCCTGAAAAACAATGACCTCACTCGCTTACTCAGAAAAGCCACGAGTAAAAAGGGAGTCTCAAGGCCTTACCGAAGGAGGGTCCTGCTACAGCAGGGAACGCGAGTAAAAAGTTTGGCTCCATTTGAGTCAAGCGGAGAAACCTGGAGGTTAAAAACCACGATGCACAAAGGGGGTGCGCGGACAGGGAGCCCACACCTCCACACAGATGGATTCAATTGAAAAGAGGCACATTCACTGTTGAGGAATGTTGAGCAATAAGTTCACTGCCGTACTCCTAGATTGAAAACTCATTTAAGTGCTTTGTGTATTAGTTTGTTTGCCCTTCCTCCCGTACCTCCGATTAGCGCGCGGTATGGCTACGTACGGTGCGAAAGAAGTTCTACGTACACACACACACACACAACCTCTCTGGCCCGAGTCTACGAACGCATGCTCTTGCCGAGGCAGTCTCCCATCCGAGGGAACGAACGGGTCTCAGCGTCTGCTTGGCTTGCGAGGCCCGGCAAGACCAGCAGGCCGCGCTACGGGGAGCGGTTTGTTCCCGGACGCAGCGAATGCGAAGAAGGAACCCGTGCTTATCCACGCGCTTGGGCGAAGACTTTTATCGGAGCGGCAACTGAAAAGGCAGTAGCATCACCGGAGGAATAACAAGAAGTTCACGGAGCGGATGGATTGCTA